CAAACTTGTTACTTGCACACATGAATACAAACTTGTTACTTGCATACCTGAATGCAAACTTGTTACTTGCATACCTGAATGCAAACTTGTTACTTGCATACCTGAATGCAAACTTGTTACTTGCATACATGAATGCAAACTTGTTACTTGCATACCTGAATGCAAACTTGTTACTTGCATACCTGAATGCAAACTTGTTACTTGCATACCTGAATGCAAACTTGTTACTTGTATACATGAATACAAACTTGTTACTTGCCTACCTGAATGCAAACTTGTTACTTCATCAGAGTAATTTATTTGATCCTCTTATAACTTTAGTCGAATCTAAAGCAAAAGTAGTGTCTGGTATTTCAGCTAAATGGAAGTGTTATGATTCGTGTTTTCAAACTCAACTTAATAGAACTACAACTACAAAAAAATGTATACAGCACCAAAGCAGTCAGTTGCAGTGTGATTATCCAAGTAGTTTATTAAAGAAATGTAAAAATATCTTCTGAACATAACCCAGTCTTTCAATGTCACTAGTTTTTAAGATTTTTAGTTTCTATTTTGTTAACTGATTTGTTTTAATTTTTAGTCTCCAAATGAGGTCCCTTTATGTGAAGCTTTAACATCATACTTTCTACATATCGTTTTTCAGGTGAATGCTTACAATGCTTTTTGGTGTTGAAGTACTACATGTACAACTTCACAACTTGAAATGTTTTGTCCAGAATTAACTACATTTTCAGGGTTTGTAGTGCATCCTCAAATTCTTTTAATCATTAATTCCTCAGGACAAGTAGAAGTATTTGGCTCTGCCATACACCAATTGAAAGTCATTCTTAATAAGCCCTAGTATGAGTGTTTCACTTCTTTATTGTTTAATAATTATCATCCTTGTTCTCACTGACAGTTCAACTTCTGGTCTTGTGACTGGTGTCCACTTTGTGGACTACTGGGGGTGATTAAGATTAAGTCACAAAGAAGGATGCTTACCCACAACCAAGGATTAATTCTTTGAATCTTTATCTGGTATGAGTATTTCACTTCTTGATAGTATAATATCCTCCTTATTGTCACTGACAGTTTAACCATTTGCCAGACCACAACAATACAGACTAATATATAGTCACAAACACATATTGGGTCTACATCTCCCGTATCAATCTTTCTCTGTTATTCTTTGGAATCAGTTTTTACTTTCTAAAGAATTGTTTGCAGCTCCTAGGAAAAAGTACTTTTAAGTTACAGTTGGAACATCTACTAACCTGTGGTTTACTTTATCCATTTTGAGTGAACAGTTGTCTAATTAACCTGTTAAATTCTTCTTGACTTCCATAAGAAGGAGTTGATGTTCCCACTTTATTTGATCTGACAATCTTATAATCCTTCGACGATGCTTTTCGTCTCGAACTTTAGATTGACTGTTCATACCAACTGGACAGTATCCTTTAAAGATGTACATCTACTTTGCTTTAGCCTAGTTCACATATCCTATACACTATGCCTTTATATAGTGGTCAAGTGCCTAATAATTCATCTGGGTAGAATAACTGGTCACATCTTTTCACACCTTCAACAATCACCTAAGGCCTCCTTCTTTCTTACTTTGTTTTAGAAATTCCCTTTTAATGTGATATGCCAAATATATTTGATGAGACATATACTAATGGAAGGTTGCACAAGGTTATTAAAGCTGTTTCTTTTAAATGCCCCCAAAAATGAATAGCTTGTTGTTCACTACTTCATCCATTCATTTTGGAAATAATTTCAATATGCACAGTTCCTAGCAGTAATTAGTGGGATTAAGTAGTTATTGTATTTTTTTACATTTTTTTTTTTTGTGATTGATATGTTATTAGGTGCCCTATAAACAACAAAATGATAGACACCCATGTAATCTGGTGCATAAAGTTTAAAAAACTGTCAATATGGACCCATCGTTACATAATTATAAGGTTAACTTCCTGTTTTGTCTTAATTTCTTTATCTGAATACAAGTTCTGTTGTTCTGGAGGGTCCAAAGTTTGGGTCCCCTGTCGCATAATTGCAATCCATTCTTTAAGCCCATGAGTGTGTTATAAGAGTGATTGTTAGATCTTATCAATTCATTATAATAGTTGCAGAGTTGGCTAGCTACCTTCCTTTCAGTCTATTGCTTCCAAATTAATGACTGTTAGCACAAGTATTCTTTGTGTACTTCGTGCAAATATTCAAAATGAACAATTTGTCCCTATCAAACTTATGGAAACTACTGTAACATATCTTACTAAAAAAGGAATTATTTGAAAGAAATATTTACATTTTGATCAGATGTTTTTCCCTGACTAAGTAGAACCATATCAAGCTTACACCTTTCTACAATAAGTTAGTTAGACTCTGGTTGGTTTCCAAGACTTAAAGAAACATGCCATTGGAATGTGGCTCCATCTTGTATTAGTCTCAGCAACATGACCACTTAAATGTGGTTCCACCTCGTAGTAGTCTAAACAACAAAACCTTTCTACTATAGAACGTGATTTCATTCCCTAGCAGTCTCAGCAACACAACTTGTTGACATTGGTTGTGGCTTTTAGTGCTTTATATAGTGAAATAATCTACTTTCTTACAAAAAAAGGCACACTTTATGTTATTATTGAATTGGATCTGCCAATCGACTCAGACAACAAAAGGAAATACCATCCATATATATTTGCACTTTTTATACATGACACTTATCTCATAAGTTACTTTTATATTTTCATAGGTACATTTACATACTTATAAATAGAATCAATGAAAACATTGTGTAATTTGGGGTCATGAACCAAACTCAAAGCACCACCAATTACATCATCTTATGAATAGCAACAACTGTTTTGATCAGTACTGTGTCCACGTTTCAGTTACACAACAATATTTATTCAAATATTTTGTTTATTAAAATAACATAAATCTGACGTCTGGTGATGCTTACCAAACTACTTAAACAGACAGCAATTAGACACAGTTCCAGATTTAAAATATTTTAACTTTCTCCATTCTAAATTTAAAAACATTTAAGAATGTGTAACAACTAAAAGTTACTGTAATTTTCAAGGACTTTAAGATTAAAGTTACATACATATCCAAGCGCACAGATTTTGTATGACTTTTTAAGACGAACAATCCTTATCAAAAGCAAATTGAGACAGCTTCAATGCAGTAGAGTGAGACAGGGGTTTCTTGTTTTGATTTGTCTGCTGAGGTTCAATCACATCATCACATTCTCTTTCAGTTCTTTTCCGTTTCTTAATATTTGCATCATTTTCACCTTGTTCCAAGGTATCCAACAATGAGGATTTCTGGTTCCACATCTAAAGTTGTGAGAACAGAAAATAAAACATATTTTTGTAATATAGTATTGTGGTTTGACTTTAGTTAACATTCTTACAAATCCTATTGAACTAACAATATTTGTAAATAAAAAGCTCTTTGAAACATAAATCATGAAGATCCAAAAATAAAAAAAAATCCAAAGGTTACAGGTTTACACTGTTTTATAGCTGTATAAGCCAAGTGTAAATAAAGATGTTTCAATCTTCAACAATCAGCAGTTTATTTTTAAAACAAAATTATACTAAACTTGTTTACTAATAACTCCACATGTTCACCTACCTCTTTATCTTCTGAAGGAAGCTCTTTAAATTTAAGAACAGCTTCTTTAACAAGATCGGACTCTTCTAATTCAGGATTCTCCTCAGCAATAGAAGGTTTGTTCTTATCAAAGAACAACTGGAAAGCTGTTTTCTTCTTTGGGGGTGCTCCACTTTTTTCCATGAGGTACTCCATAGTTGGCTTGTTTTTTCCCAAAAGTGTTAACTGCTGTTGTGTCTGCAAATTTAAAAGCAATAAAAATATTTAAAATTGCTTTTTTTTTTCAAGATTTATCTTGCGAAGCTTTATGACATGTCTGAGCACAGACATCTCTCATTCTGAGAAGACTAGGAGGAAAGCAGCTATTCAACAGAACCCACTGCCAATTCTTGGCTGATCAAATAGTAGGAATTGATTGTCTACCTTTTAGAAAACCTACAGTTCCATGGTGTGGAAAACTTTTCTACAATAACTGACTGTTAACATGGAGATTCGGGTGTGGCCTGCTTAGTTAGCATGCTTGGACTGTGTGGGCTTCCTGGTTAACAGTCAGTTATTTGGGCTGGGTGTGGCCTGCTTAGTTAGCATGCTTGGACTGTGGATCCAATAACTGACTGTTAACCAGGAGATCCGGGTGTGGCCTGCTTAGTTAGCATGCTTGGACTGTAGCCCGCACTAACTGACAGTTAACCAGGAGATCCACAGTCCAAGCAGGCCACACCCAGCCCACAATAACTGACTGTTAACCAGGAGATCCACAGTCCAAGCATGCTAACTAAGCAGGCCACACCCAGCCCACTATTGAGTCTTTCATAACATTTCACAGAATGAAGAAAAAATGTCTATCAAGAAATTACTATTACTTTGACAAAGTGTATAAGATGTGAAAAATATAAACTTCAAACAAAAACAAGTTGTTTCATTTTAACATGCTGAATGGTTTAACCAAATTTCTAAAATATATTCTATTGTGAATTAGTGGCTAAAAAATGTTGTTTTAATGTTTGTTTTCATTCCACATGAAACAAATACTTAACACTAAGTAACTTCATTTTGAGAGCATCAGGCAAATTAATTTTATGCAGATGAATTAATTTATGATTCCTTTCAAAAATGGGTCATGGATGTTTGAAACAACATCTCAAACTGGTAAGGATGTAATGGGTTCTTAAGTAATGTACTGATAACATTCACATCCAATCTTACTGGAAATTATAGCTTAAGTTTGCATGACTGACAGCCCTAAGATCTTGGCTCTGATACGGTTGTATTTCATACCTTGAAATCCTGGTTCTGATGAGGCTTTATTTCATGAACAAAAAAATCAATCAACACAAAGCATCCTGAAAATGTGTCAGATTCCGAGAAATATAAGTCTGTAGAGTTCAATGAACTTGATTTAATGAATAAAGGAATAAAAAGCTGATTTAACTGACATACCTTTTTCTTTTTCCCATCAGCAAGATTATTTTTGTCTTTTATAGTGGAAGATAACTGCTTAACACCATCAGTCAAGATTCCATCAATGCCGACACTGCCCCTTTTCTCCTTAGTAACCACCTTTAATTTGGAAAATCAAAAAAGGGATTCAAATAAGCAGTTTACATAATATTAATTACACTCCAATTTCTGGAAAAAATATGGTCCAAACAGAACCTACCTTGATATTATTTTCAGTCACATTAAGACTTACAAAATACACTCACTAATTTAAAAGGATTTCTTTTATGTCCAACACTTGTCTGTGATGACTTCTGTTGCTTCCTCTGTGTCTTGCTCTGAAGTAGCATATCTAAGAACACCAGAAAAGATAAGTAAGAAGACTGAACTTTCAAAGTTATGATCTTAAAAATGAAAGCTGGTAAAGCATAGAAGGCTTAATATTTGTGATTGAAAATAAAATCTGTATTCTAAGTTATTTTTTCATAAAGAGAAACTATTTTTAAGAGATGTACCAGGAAAACGTGGAATATTAAAAGCTCAAAAAATTAATTTCCAAAAATTGAGTACATAAAAAGAGTCCATCTCCAGTTATCATTACAAGTTTTGTGCTTGACATTATGAGCGAAAAAAACAAAACATGGTTCTTGGTTCAGCAGGTAGATGATACATTGAACCATATACAATATTTTTAAATGGAGTATTCATTCATTTACTGATTAGTAAAACAGTTTTTCACATTATAACCGGCATTTGTTGCATAAAGATTATTAAGTAATGTATCATTGAAACAAGAAAATGGTGTATAAAAAACATGAGTTAGATAATCAAAGCATTATTTATGTAACAAAACCCCATAATCCTTGAAAAGTAGAAAAACTCCAGAACTCTAATTTTAATTGTCACAAGATATAGAAAAAAAATGATATCTGATGGCTTTTGTTATCTTTATTGTTGATTTTCATAAATATTTCGTACGTTAGCACAATACAAAATGAAATAGAAACTTCTGTGCAACAATCATTTTATCACTGTAACAAAATCTCATAATGAGCAAACTTATGTTTTGATAAGAAGCTCATATAATCATAACACTTTTTAATACTAACATGATTAAATCTTAGCACTTTGAATCTTAATACTTTTGATATAACACTTAAAATAATGCTCATTTCTCATATTAATAAGTATGAAAATAACTAAAACACTAAATTTTACTCTTTTCTGATAATATATGAGAAGGCTCTGACTTGATGTGCATTACAAATGCATAAATCTTGCCTGACAATTTCTTGGTGATGCAACTCTTTGTAGTTTATTATGTAAATTCAAGCTTACCGTTTTCTGTATTGCTTTTGTCATCAGAAGTATCTTCTCTAACAGCTTCTTCTACAAGAGAATGGTGAGATCGTAGCACTACTGGTTTGGGTTGAAGAACTTCATCATCATTTGGTCTACAGAAAACATTTATACCTCAGGAATCTTACTGTTTTTCAAAGAAAATTACATTTACATATAAATACAAAAAATGAGTAAACTTCTGTGTTTAAAAAAATGTTAATTAATCCTAACAATTGTGAATGCTGCCAATGTGACACAAAATTCTAATTTCATATAACCATTCTGTCTACAGCTTATAATAAGGCAGTCTATTGTTTTAACAAATATTTCTGTAGTCCTAGGCTGATCTAATGAGGTAGTCTGCTGTTTTAACAAATGTTTCTGTAGCCTTAGCAATGATTTAATGATGTAGTCTGCTGTTTTAACAAATGTTTCTGTAGTCTTAGCAATGATTTAATGATGTAGTCTGCTGTTTTAACAAATGTTTCTATGGTTCTAAAAATAACCTAATGAGATAGTGTGTTGTTTTAACAAATGTTTCTTGTATTCTTAGCAGTGTTGTAATGAGATATTCTGCTGGTTTAATGAATGTTTCTGTTCCAGCATTGATCGAATGAGGTCATCTTTTGGTTTAAAAATCACGCATAAACAAACTCAACAGGCAACTAAATTACATAGGAAAAGGTGTGTGAAATATGAACTTAATAATAATAAAAAAACCTGAAGGTAGAGCATACAAGTAGTTTACATTATAAAACTGCAAAATTTCCATTAAACTTGTGATAAGACAGTAAGTTTACCCACACAAAAGAAATGTTTCCATCTCTTCTATTCATCTCACTGTTTTCATCTATTCCTTCTTCAGAATCACTTTCTTCTTTGTTGACCAATGATTCTTCTTCCAGCTTTTTTTGAGCAATTTCCCCTAATCGTTGAGCCAACATCATGTGGTGGCTCTGTGATGCATAGCTAATGGCTCCTTTTACTGCATGTTGTGTTGGCATCAATTGTGCAATTTCCACAGCTCGGTATTCTTGATCAGAACGAGTAGCAAGCTAGAAGGTTAAGTCAAGGCAAGAACACTTTTTAAATATATTAAAAGTACTTTTATATCAAGTTTAAAATATAACCTATGACAGATTTAGAATTCTACACAATCACATGGACTTACATAAGTTAATTCCAAGATCTAGCATGGAGTTTGAAACTATTGAAATAGGCGTATTATTCAACACAAAAATATCAAACCCTGAAAGTCATACACCATTCTTAAAAGAGCTTACAACATTAACAATAAATGATACTAAGACACCAAACTAAAAGTAATAAGCTATCACTTCACTACTTTGATAAAATAAAACAAAAAATAACAACAACAAGCTGATAACATTAAAAACAACTTTTAAAGTTAGTCAGATTACAGCAAAATTGTAAGATACATTAAATTTTTCTCTAAAAACTATAATAAATATAACCCACAGCAGTCACTTCTATGGCTACACTATCATGCCTTGGTTAAAAAAATTACTTTAACAGATATCAAACATCCACTGTGCCTTCACTGGTTACACTAGCCAAAACTTGATTTAACAAGCTACTGTAACAAATATAAAACACTACCAAAAGTACTCAACTTAGCTCAGGTTATTAGGTTGATATCTTCTAGATGACTATGTCAGTGTATGTATTCTGAACCTATTTTATCAACCCACAGGTGGACATAGTCTTCAACTCATAGATTATTTTGGTTTATGCAAATAAATCACAGCCTTTCTGATTCAATTTTGGCATACATTATGATTTTAGTGAGAGGGGTGCAAAGGGGCCGTGAAAACTTGTAAGTATAGTGAATGTTTGTATGATTTAAACAAATTAATAAATAAACCTAAAGTAAAGACATAATGTGAGATAACCTAGCCTAGAGACAAGTGCATAAAATCTATCATTAAAATAAAAATATTGATCCAATTTTAAACTTAAATCACTTCTGAATTAAGGTATTTTCTGTTATTCACCAACGTTTTTAATAAAAAACAAACCTCTTTAAACAACAGACTCTAAATTAAGAAATCATTAAATATTTTTCCAGTTTGTTGTTTATACATTTTATTTTACACTTTCAGTACATAATAATAATATTAGGTTATTCTTTTGTCACTAAGCAACATGACATAAAAGCCATTGTTAGAATGCATTGTAACCAGAACACACCGACTTTTATATATATTAGAAATTCTTAATCTATTTGTTATACTGCAGGGTATACTATGGGGTGGTAGTACTTACCTCATCATTTTTGACAGCTATACATGTATAATAAAAGAGCGTGTCTGTCTGCGGTTTTTTGCTAGCTTTCCTTATTAAAAAGATGTGCACATGCATGTGGGCAAGCACATGTGATCTGTCTGTTTGTGATTTGTATTTGTAATATATGGAACCACTGAATGCAATCTTTGAAGACCATGAAACCTACTGTTTTTTTTGAAGTGTACATCTGCCCAATTGATTATCTGTGCTGTGACTACCACAGGGATAGAACCCTAACTTTTATAAACTAAAAGTGAGAACAAAAAGACTACTGCTTAAAGATTATTAGTAAAAATTTTAAGTATTCTTCAAGGAGATCAAGAATTAAGTAAAATATAAAAGCATATAATGTAGTATACTGACAACAAAAACTAAAATATTTAGAATCACAGTGATATGAACTTTTCTTAAAGTTGAGATCTAGTTTTATCTATATTTTAATAATAAACAGCAAAGAAACATACAGCAAACATTCTCAATAACACATCTATTCTTTTTCTGCCAGCATCTTCAAGTTCTTTGTCTACATCAAACCCATCCTTTGATAATCCTGTCAACAGCTTGGATAAAAGAGCTAGTCGACAGCATTCTTCCTGAATATGTAAAAAACCATTACAACATTAAAAAGAAATAGTCTGAAAATAAACAAAACCCTATCTGAATACATAATGTTAACAAAGGTAAAATAATTTTATGTTCAGCTTATAAATGCTGATATCATGGTATCATTATTTAAGACTAAATATTTATTTTGGTAAATATCAAATGAGAGACCATTTCAAATATGTAGAGGACAAGGACAAATATTCCATCACTTAGTCACTGCACTGCCAACAATAGTTTTTGGACTGAGAAAATACCACCACTTCTCCAGGACCTTTTTAAGCTAATCAGTTACTAAATAAAACAATCAATGTATAATTACCAGTTCGTTGTTAAGTTAATAAACAGAAAAAGCATGTTGTTCAACTCTTTATTCTAACTTTTAAATAATTATTTAAATAATTCCCATAATAAGGCTTTGTGCAATCTTTGTTCCACTGTAATAAGGCATTGTATAAACCTTCTTTTTCTGTAATAATGCTTTTTCTATTCTCTGTGATTGGTGTTTGAATGCTGAATCTGACAATAACTCTTAGATTTTGTAGGGTGCTACTGTAAAAAAAAAAAAAAATACAAGTAAAGTAGTAAGAAATTAAAACAAAGCATATAAGTGTCTGGACAGTGCATTCAACTGATGTAATTAAATTTGGGATATATATAAAAATTATAATAAGAAATAAGGGTACCCTTTTGAAAAGCTCTTCAAATATTTTTCTACTTTGCACTTCTGACAACATTAACACTTTTAACTAGGTAGTAAAGTTAGTATTAAAAGAGTATTAGTAAGTTAGTGTAAAGAGGGTAGCAGCAAAGTTAGTGCAATGAGGGGTAGGTAATATAGCTAATATAATGATGGTAAGTATTAAAGTTGGTGCAATGATGGTAGGTAGTAAAGTTAGTGGAATGATGGTAGGTAGCACAGTTAGTGCAATGATGGTAGGTAGCACAGTTAGTGCAATGATGGTAGGTAGTACAGTTAGTGGAATGAGGGTAGGTGATAAATTTAGAGCAATGAGGGTAGGTAGTAATGTTAGTGTAATGAGGGTAAGTACTTAATCTCTAGATGTAATAAACAAGTTAGATGCTGCTTAAAATCTTGGTGTAATAAAATAGATAAACCCGATGATGCTTAATGTCTTGGTGTAATAAATTAGACATAAAATGCTGCTTAACATCTTGTAGTAAAATATACAAATCAGCTGCTGTTTAATGCCTTCACATAATAAAATAAACAAATTGGATTCTGTTTGATATATTTGTGTAATAAAAGAAACAAATCAGATGCTGCTTAATTTTTGATGTAATAAAACAAATCAGATGCTGCATAACTCTCATATTACAGGCTTGGTCGATTTGACTGACCATGCGACCTCTTTGTACTCATTTAAAGTCCATAGTTTTGCTACTACCAACTTTTAATATAGTATGTATATCTTCACAATTTGGCAGACTTTCAGTAAACGTTAAGTCTTTCACATGCAAAAAATTAATTTTTTAGTGAAGTATTTTTAATAAACTAAAAAAAGATTTTTCCGTGAACAAATTTTATTATTTTTTACTAGTCTGCATGCAAAGCAATTTTCATGTTAAGATTAAAAATACCTTTCTCATCTCAAAAATCTCAAATTTCATTTGCATAATCACTAGAACCTCCTAAATACATTTCAAATGTTTATTTTCAGTAAAACTTTATATTTTATCTGCTATTTTCTCTACCCTAACACAATACAAGGCTGGTCAATTTGACCGACCTCGTAACCACCAAAAAAAAATCAAAATAAATCTAAATTACTCTTTCTTCTATCAAGAATGACTTTAAATTGTAATATGAAACTACATTTGTAGCTTTAAACTCATAACAGTATACATCTATTTATACTTAAATTTGATTTCCCTTTGATCCATGTCTGACTATTACTATTCATACCATTATAAGTTGTAAATCAGTTGGGGAACATGGAGTTCACGTTATGCTATCGAAATACATTACCCATGAGCTACTCCAAGCTGCTTGCATGCGTGTCTCATGAAACATTTTTATTATATCATTATTATTTATTTTACCTAATCTAATTTTAACTAACCTAAAGAGATCCAAATTTTGACATTTTAGTTACTTTTATGATAATAGATAAAGAATAAACATAAAAAACAAGAAATAAAGCACTTACCCATGTCTTCCTTTTTTTTGGCTGTCGACTGTCGATAACACTTAACCTTACATTTTTATACTATCAGTAGTAGTGCACTAAATAATTTTTATTTAAATATATTATGCACCAAAGAACATAAAATAATAATATGCAAAAAGCAGACAATTTCCCCTAACTATAACAATTTTTCTGGCTTTCTAACTATGCAAAAAGAGTCATTACAAATTTATCCACACTAGTCCTTATCTTTCCTGTGGGAATGAAGCTCGCAACAACAGAGAAAATGACAATTCTCTGTTCAGAAAACAAGGTAATATAATACATCATTCGATAAATAAAAACCTTGGCTTTCTATTGGTTATACATAATATAGTATTAAGAGCAAGATAGAAATACTAACAAATTCTGAAAGAAAAAAATGTGACAGGTGGGTGTGGCAAGAGAGGTCTGATTTTCTTTTTGATGGCTCTGTAACCAAACAAGATTGAAGGCTATAAAAATTATGATTTCTCTGTGCAATGACAATTTTATATTGAGTAATTTATTTTAAATTTTGTACTTATTGGAGGGGTGGTGAATAAAATAAAGAAGAGAGGATGCCTAGAGAAAATATTTCACATTTCTCACACTAGGGGAAATTCAGGATTTTTCAAAATATTGCCTTATAAAATTAAGAACTTAAAACATATATACTATTAAAATATGGATTATTAGCTATGATTTTATTCTATACTAATTGGTATAACAAACAAAAAGTAGCTTAATTAAATTTTGAATGTAAGTCATTAAAACCTCGCAACATACACAGTAAAGGATGCCCAAGGTGATAGGGTTAATGTCTCAATGTAATAAATAAACAAATGAGATGCTGCTTAACATCTTGATGTAATAAAATAAAGAAATGAGGTGCTCTTAACATCTTGATGTAATAAAATAATCAGATTCTGATTAATATCTTGATGTAATAAAATAAAATTAGATGCCGATTGACACCTTGGTGTAATAACATAGACAAATCAGATACTCCTTAATGTCTTAATGTAATAAAATAAACAAATCAAATGTTACTTAACTTCATTATGCAATAAAATAGATGAATCAGATGCTGCTTAAAATGTTGGCGTAATTTATGTACTTTGTTGTCTAAGCCTTGGTATCTTTTATGCCCACAGATAATAATTCAGTTTTTAAAAACAAATTAACTTAATATTTGAATTTATAGGGGTATTTTTTTACAGACATGAAATATGTTTTTTTTTATTGACTATTTTACACTCCTTTTTACACTTGTAGAAGCTCAAGATTCAGCAAACCATGCCAAGTCATATATTCAACTGTTTTATGTTTAAAGGTTATTACAAAACCCTCACCTCTAGCTTTCCTTTATTAGAAGACATGTCACATGTGGGTAAATGTAAGGGTAGCACGGTAACAGCTGGTCGAGGTAAGGTAGGGGGATAACGGGAGCCTTTACAAGGAATACATCTATAAAAACCAAAAATAATGTGTTTAGCTATTAAAATACGAGAAGAGATATTTTCTTTTAGTTTTAAACAAAAAAATTAAAGATATAATACAATATTGCAAAACATGCAAGATTTGAATTGTAATGTACAGTATATACACAAGTGAAAATGTTAACTTCATCTAAGCCTCATAATGACTGCCAGGTGTACAACATGGCCACTTGAAATCAGAAGTCTGCTGACAATGGAATCAATATGGATTTAAAAGCACTAACTGCAATAATTATTTGTAATGAAATAAACTAAGTCTAGAACATGGTTAAGAAGACCTGCTTTACTTCTGTGATTAATAATTCAGCTTATGTGGGCTTTTTGAGGTCACCAAAACTGTAAGACTGCCATACTGGGTACTTAATTACAAGATTTTGCTCTCGCCACAACAAACAGTTCTTCTCAAGACTCCCCTGAAGACAGCAGCTGATTAGTAGCCAAAATGTAAGATGTCAACTAATTAGTATCTAATAATATGAAGAATAAAAAAAAAGCAAATAACTAGTAGTTAGACTTTAAGTTGATCACATAGGATATTAGTGATGACAGCAAAGAAAAAGATATGTACTCTTCACAGATGAGTTCAAGATTCAACAAATGATTGAACAGTGTGCAGAATTAGTGATGAGCAATATGCTCAGTTGGATGTCATTCCAATGACAGCTTAATTATGTGGGGGAGGCACCAATAAGAATGGATGTACACATCTTGGTGCACTCTCAAGGATGGATTTGCTGTTCAATGCTATATTTAGTATCCAGATGCAAAATCTTTCATGGGCATTACTACATTAGACCTATGAAACCAAATAATACCAGGATGTTAATGGAGAAGTCTGAATAAAAATCCACAGAAATGATGGACTTTGTGTACATCAGGGAGTTTGCAACTGCAGTGACAGAAGAATAGAGCACCACCCCTTAATATACTTTCCTGAATGACAAAATGGGGCAGGATTCTTCATAACATCACTTCCATACTGACTTGAATAAGACAGAATTAGTTATAACATCATTTTTCAACAGACCAGAATGAGGCAGGATCCTGTTTAAGTGGTAGTATAATATCTTGACTGACCAAAATGGGACAGGATCTCTATCTTAATACTGGGTATCATTTTTACCAAATGTGACCTTCTGAGACAAGTGTATTCAGTCTGACCACGTTTAATTTGGGAATACTTGTGTTCCAGAATTTATCTTTATCAGTTCAATATTTCACTGTTACAGCTTTGTCACAAGGTATTAATGTCGTACAAGTTCACTATAATCAGTTGAAACTAAACTGGAACACCTACATTTAATCAAAAATTGATAGAAATGTTTCATAATAAATTCCAGTTTGCATTGAAAAAAGTTAAGAATAATACTGAATCACTACTTATGTTTTATAGATAAATGGTGCTCATAAAATGTGCTTTAAATTCAACTCAATGTTAAAGAACAATTGAACTATAAACTTTTGTTAAGTACAGAAATGCATATATCTCTGTAACATTAAACAGGACTGACAGAAGTAAAATAATTAAGACCATTGTTAAGTTTTGACCAATGAACATAAACAAAAACTTCATGATCATATGCAATTATTCACGTATTTTTCTACATAGAATTTTAGGGAAACTGCACATAGCTGTTCCTAACTTGAACTGGTGTGTTGAATATGATCACCACTCTTACAGAATGATAACAGCCCCAAAGTATAGAACAGTAATAAGTTTTAAAACAAGAATTTCAAATTCACAGCCTCTAGGCCACATCTATCATCAAAATATCATAACTGTATTGTTTAAGCACATAATGTGCAATGGGGTACGTGTTCTGCACTCACTGCCAGGATTAAACTCAATTTGTTATATTAGGTCTTAAGCTTAATGCAAAACTGTAGTGAGTTTTTTGTTGTGTAAGAAAAAGAGGGTAACTTGCATAAACAAAAATCATATATCAATGAAAAGAGCATCAAAAACATCTGGTGAATATAGACAACAGTAATAACATTTTTTAATAAAACTAAAAGATAATGCTTCTTACCTTATCTGCTGTTGAATTTCACTCATCCCAACAACGAAGAAGTGGTCTGATTTCCCTTTTGTCTAAAAATAAACTTGAAAATAAGAACACTGGAGTTTAAAAAAGCAAACTTACATACAAAATATATACATTAGAACCTCATTTACACATGCTCTGTTGACCTGTGATTTTAACTATCTGCAGTCATTCCTGTGAGATTTATTCATGTTGTACTGCCAATGTATACATTATGTGCATGTACACCATACACACACATAATAAACCATGCATGCTTCATTCTAGAATGTACTGTACTAATATACTTGGACGGTATACAGAAATGACCTAAAGCGAAAACAGGTAGGTTTAAATTTGGAGTAGAAACTACATTTTGCCAAAGGCCTTAAAATCACTCACAAATGTAAAAAAAATTGCTCTGGAGTTCAAAATTGGGCAGACAAAACATTGTTTGGGTTTTAAAGTTAACATTTCTCTAAATTGAAAATGTATTTCCAATAATACTTACCTCCGCTGACACTTGTAGCTATTACGCGACAGCCAGGGTTTCAACTTTGCCCATCTAAGCATTGGTCTGATTTTTTCTCACTTCCTCCAGTCTTTTATACCCCACTCAATTGCCCTTAGCAATATGTCTTGTGATACTCTCCACCTATGTCAGTGCACCCTCTATCCTGGTACTGTATATAAGGACCTCATTCAGACAATTCTATCACTTCGAGAATGATATCATTCCAGTCTCTAACACTGGCTCTGAGTGGGGAGCAAGAACGGAAGAGTGTCAGTGGAGGTAAGTATTATTGGAAATACATTTTCAACTTAGGAAAATGTTAACTTCCAAAACTTACTTATCTCTGCTGCTACTTATAGCTAGAATTCCACATTGAGATGGTGGAGGGGCCGGTGAGTGCATTATCCATACAGAAAGTGTCTGCACAGATCAAGAGTGTACCAAGATAAGCATGGTACCCGAGTGGGAGAAAAGGCACTACATCCAGAACAGGAATGCTCTTCACATTGAACTTAGTTCCTGTATCAAGGGTGGAATAGTACATGAGTAATCATCACTACAGGCCAGCCCCAACCAGATAGCCAAGGTTCCACAACATGGGGTAGGAACTAATGGGTCTTAAGCAGACAAAAAAGGAGCCTTCCACTTGCCCCAAATTATGGAGAGGACGTGGAACACTGTGCTCAACTAAGGACCCAGGATGGAATCACTCCACATTCAGAATTACGAGGAGATAGTGGACCTCGTTCCATGAACAATATATAAAACCAATATTGATCAAAAGAAGGGCCATGTACATCCCAACTAAATAGCCAAGCAGCAAACCCAAAACAGTATTACAAATAGGCTTTCACATAGGCTGGTGCCACTCCTACCAATATCTGGAAAAAACATCCAGGGACCCAGGTAGGGGACCCCCCAACATTGCCCTCTTCTCCGAGAGTAGAGGAAATCACTCAAACACAGGAGAAAAAGCCTCTGTCCACCAACTCAGTGACTGGAAACTGGGTGTGGTAAGGACTCCCTAGCTCCACTAGTAAAAACTGTGAGGGGTTAATGCTCATTGGGGCCTGAGGAACAGTGCAATAGGTGAAACAAGTTCTCTAAATTTTTAAAAACAAACCCACCTCGATTTATCCTATGTGATGATTGGTAGGGACAGACAGGATTCCCTATAGCTCTACTCATGATAGTCCATAAGTGGTGATCTAGCATAAAATGGCAATAGCACTGGTGACTCCTAGAAGGTCTTATGGAACACCTCATTTTTACAGAGCCTGTTGCAACCAGTAGTAAGTATAATTAAATTGGTTGCTAGTGCAGAATTGGATGGATAAAAGCACACCTGTCTGGGCAACACCTGCCACAAAGTGGGATCCTGTGAAAACAAGGTAAGGGACCCTGAAAGGTAGAAATAAAAATACTCACCCCTCTGGATAATCTAACAGAAATAGTTAAGATAGCTACAGGGGGTAGGTATAAAACCGTCAGGTGAAGAGACTGCAGGATCAGGCAAATAAAGTGAGATAAAGATATTGGGGAGGTCTACATAGCAATCTCCAGTGGGCAATTCAACTCGGCTGCTAAGGACATAGAAAAGAGAGATTTGATAAGATGTGACTCACAGAAGATACCACACCTTCAAAGACAGTCCAGATTAAAGGTGGAAGTGCAGGCAACAAAACATTCAAGACCCTCACTGAATATGACCAAGATTGAAAACTGATTGAACATAGAGAGAAAGAGTGAGCCAATGAATCAGATAAAAGGATTTAACTCCTCTCCTGTCTGAGTGTTGGATAAGAAGAACTGGTCTGAGGATGTAAAGCAAATGAGAAAGTGGTATGTGGACAAACAGTGCAAATCACTCAGACTGGTGATGTCCAGAGGTTAGCAGCCACAAAAAGTAACCTGCAGGTAAAGGGGATACATGGCATAGCATATAAGAGTCAGGTCACAAACAGGTGTAGTGAGAACATGTAACCTGAATCTACTTGTTAGGTAAATGGACTGGTCATTTGGGAACAATTACCCAAAACAATGTGAGGAATCTTCAGAGTATTGGAGACTCAAAAGTATGTAGTTGAGGTAATTGAACAGTGGTCGATAAGGCCGCCATAAACAATAGCAATTGTAGAAGATGAAAAAAACATCTGTTAAAGAGCCAAGTCAAAAAACGAGTTATGATTGACACCACTGATTGGAAAGGGTTCAACTCTTCTCAATACAACATTGCCAATATGCAAGTCATTACCTTTGAAAAAAGTGACTTTTTGACTAAGCAGAAGCTGAGTCAGATACAGGTCAACCTTAGAAATTAAACCCCAATGCCTTGTGAAATATAGCATAACCTCTATGCCAGATGCTTGAGGTTCTGGATAGCCGGATGCACCATATCTGATCATGGTTGTGTCCATAGAGAGATCCTAAAAAGAAGTGGAAGAGTTGGACACACCAGAAGGGACTGCAGAAGCATAAACCCTGGTGTAGCCACCAATCTGGTGTGATAAACAGAATATGACAATGTGTTGGAACAAATCATATTTTGTACCCTGGCTAATTTATGATATGGAGAAAGTGGTAATCCTGTCCTGTCCAGATGGAAAGCATCTACTGCCAAGGCCCAAAGATGAAGATGAGTGATCGAATGAGAGGTTAACCTGCCAATTAGAGCCGCAATCCAATTTAACCTTGCGATGCAACATCTATTCTGTTGTGAGAATCTGTTTGGAGACAGTGGACCTGCTACCATAGTTATCACCTGTGAAACATGGCAAGCTAGAAGGGTGATAAAATAAGACTAGTCTGGAGAAAGGAGGTCCAAAATTCGAAAACAAGGAACCCTAGACCACATGACTCCTTGATGAGAAACATAAGACACCATCATGGAATAGTTGAGTGAAGCCTGACAATTTACCTCTTAAGAAGCCAAGACCATGAGACCTTGCCTGTTGAAGAGCAAAAAAGATGAAAACATTGTGTAGGGAATCCTTGTCATCTGTGCATACTCTGGAATTCCTGACTGGTGGTATAGGTACCCCATCCCTGAAACAAGGCATTCGTGAAGAGAATGGAATTCTGGACAAGGAAGCAGTAGAGGAACCCAATTTGCAATAGCATCCCAACTTAACCCCTCAAGATCAAAGAATGATTTAGACTAAGAAAACTGGGGAAACCATGAAATAAATGTGTATGATCACTGGTTGTTTAAAGACTAATAATTGCTTGCATTCTCATCCCAAAGGAATGAGAGATTCGAGTGATACCCACATTCCCAGAAGAGAAAGGAACATCTGTGCAGTGGGAGAAGGAAAGGTGAATAAGATTGTGATGACCTATTCTATAACATTGAGCAGGATGGGAGACTGCTGAGCCTGACTGAAATACGAGATGAAAAATAAAAAATACCCAGACTGAAGACATATTGAACTGGAGTGAGATTAGATGTCACAGTCCCGATTGAGAAGTCTGCCTGGGTTGTATCTGAAAGTAGAAGCAGGATGTAATGGTCTAACAATTGACGAGATGTTGATACAGCAGAAACCATGTTAAGCCTATGTGAGACCAAATGAAAAAACCCGGAACTGCATTACCTGACCCTTCTGCACCACAAATGATGACAGTAGTGAGACTTCACTGCTAAGGCAAAGTGCAGATAGGAGCTGACTACAACCAAGTTGGGCATCTGCAATCCCCAAAAAAAATCAACACAAACTGAGGAATCATTAACTTGTGAACCTTGGAGAATCTAGTAATTGATATAGACAAGGAAGATTGATGACTAGACACCAATGTCCTGTCTTTATAGGCCAAACAATGAATAGGAATAAAAACTCTGAAGAAATAGCCCGACTCTCACTATCCCCATACCAACCAGACCAAGATAACTCTAAAACTAAGTTACAAATCCTGATAAACTGCAGAGGATGGAAATTCTATAGGTTGGGTGGATAATAATGAGGAAGATGTGAAATGAATGACCAATTGTGACCCAAGAACCTGCAGAGCTTCTGGACCAATGGTGAAGCTTACCACATTTCCAGAAATTCTTGGAACTGAACCTCCACAGCTCTTAAAGGTATACAATAATCACCAACACTGCTGGTGATCCATCTAAGAAGTGGAAACCTTAGATATAGAACAGAATTTGTTCTGAGTACCAATGTACCGAGGAACTGATGTCGGGGATCGATACTCACGAATAAGGGTGGAAGTATGACTTCCCTGTAGGATCTAATGAAATTTGAGACTCCAACAACAACGAGAGGAAGGTAGAAGCCAAAAATTGAACCAACATGCATGCTAACAATGGATCCATCTCATCCTCAAGTTAAATTGTAAGTTCATAGACTTACTTTGTCCCATCAGAGGACATTGACATATATAGGTGAACTACAAGCTCTGCCTTAGAACCCCGAAATTCAAGGAGCAGATATTATTTGAGAGCCAGAAAAATGCTGCTACCTGGCGATGGTAGGCGAAATCACAAAGTTCCAACAACATTTTGGATAAGACCTAACTGTCCTTTCACATAACTAAGAAGTAAACCTTCAGCATGAACAACAATTTCCGGTCATGGAAGAAAAAAAAAAAAAATTTGCTCCCAGACTTTTCAGCCATCAATTAAGTTGCAGGCTCAAAACAAACCAGGAAAAAGCCCAAGCAGAAAAACCAATCAAAGGCAGTTTATCCCAAAGTGGCCTCCATTTCGTTTTTCATAGGTCAGTTAAAGACTGGTAAAATAAGTTGTTTTGTTATAGCAAAGTAACTGGGGGCCACCTGTCATGTTTACCCTAGGGAATTGACCCTCAGACTCCAGTACTGCGAGTCCATAAACTTATCTCTGACCCATATGGTAGCTGAAAATTCAGGTGATTTTTGCTCAAAAAAATACATTCATAAGTGTTTATTTTCAGTACAAGAACACATACATTTTTTCGTCTAAAGATACTACAGTAACTCACATGTGACTTGGTGTTTGCTACCGGAACCCACATGTTCTGTAGACTCAACAACCTAACCACACCAGATGAGTCAACTGTACAAGGTGTCCCTTCATCTGTGAAGCTACAAATAAAATATGCAACTAACATAAATGTGTGTGAAATATACTGCATAGAACAAAGATATCACAGAATAAAACATCAAAGTAAATGTTTGTTGAAAAAACTTGTACCTGATTGTCAAACTACTCTATCCATGTTCAACTCTCTCTCTCATATATGTGCACACATTTATAGATATATGCTTTGCATCCATGCTTGGGTCAATGAATTGAAAACATTTTTGAGAAACTATTTCATACTAGTTTGGGATAAAATTAAAGGCAATGCCAAATAAAAAAAAGAAACATTTTGTTTACAATAATCAAGTGGGAAGTTGTTTCTTGTCTACATGAGTCATTAGGTTCAAGATGTGGCTACAGTCTTGTTTACAATAATCAAGTGGGAAGTTGTTTCTTGTCTACATGAGTCATTAGGTTGAAGATGTGGCTACAGTCTTGTTAACAATAATCAAGTGGGAAGTTGTTTCTTGTCTACATGAGTCATTAGGTTGAAGATGTGGCTACAGTCTTGTTTACAATAATCAAGTGGGAAGTTGTTTCTTGTCTACATGAGTCATTAGGTTCAAGATGTGGCTACAGTCCTTACAAAACTGAAAGCAAACAAAATAAAACAAGAGTAAATGAACTCAGATGTCTAGACACTTACCCAGCCCATACAACTGTTGCTTTAGGACTAAGGGCGACAGGTTGAATTGGTATACGGGACTGAGTTTTGGCTTCAACTTTAAAAATCATCATTGCCAGTGACTGCTCACCAGGAATACCTACAGTAAATAATATAGTATGAATGACTGTCTTAAATAAAGGTGGCATTTGTAACATCTAGGAGCCTAACACTAATGTTAAGTTACAGCCCTATTGACGGGTCTAAATAAAATTATTGTCTCTAACACCTAGGATCCCAAAATTAGCATCAAGTCAGATCACTCATGACACACCTAAGTAAAAGTATTACTTCTAACATCCAGTGAACCCAACCTAAGATAACATCAGTGTTATTACTAACTTAGATAAAAGTAGCTTTTCTAACACCTAGAATTTTAAAACTAACATCAAGCAAATGCTCTCATGACTAGCATAAATAAGAGCATTGTTTCTAACACCTAGGAACCCAAAACTAACATCAAGTCAGTGTCCTTGTGACTAACCTAAATAAGAGTATCATTTTTAACATCTAGGATCTCAAAATTAACAAGTGCTATGTGGAATGAGCATTTCCTGAATGTGGTCATGTAAGCTTATAAAAAATTAAAACTGAAACTTTGGTAATTTTCACTAGTTGTTAGATGCTAAGTTTAAAAAACTTGTTCTGGATTGTAAAAAAAAAGAAGAAAAAAGAAACTTGTGCAAAGTATTTAGTTGAATCAAAGTTCAAGTTGAATAAAAATTGCACACCATGACTATGTATAGTTACAGAAAGCAATACAAAATTAAAAAGGATAAAGCTCTTGATGTCATAATAAAAATAACATATTGATTGAATATATCATATTATGGAATTTTCACAATAGGTAACAAGATTGTAAATACAAATCTTAGGTTTTTATTAAACATTTAGAGGTTTATTTAGAGAGTAACTTATACTACTTTTTCAGTTTGGTTCCTCATACTGTGGTGAATGACACAGGAATATGTGTAGGCTAAGTACCTGTACAAGAAACAAGATAAAATTTTTAATCACATTTTTAGGTGGATTCTCAAAAAGCTGCTAACACACCTGCCGCCTGGTGATAAATAAGTAGAAGTTGTACACCAAGTCCAGTCATGCAGACAAGAGGGCCTGGTAAACAAAATATTTCTCGTTGAATTCCACCTATGGTAAATATTCTAACTATTCGAGTGTTTGTGGTAACAGCAGTCCATTTTTCCCCAACTGCAACACCCTGGAATTACATGCAGATTTATAAGTAGAATTACAAAGAATTCAATTATTTTTGTTTTCTAATATATAGGGAATTCAGTTGTACTTTATCTGGTCACAGAACTAATGCTATAGAATAACTACATACATCACATTAAAAACAAACATACATGCCTGAACTATTCATAAACACGTGAATACATGTATAAATACACACATTAGAACTATTCATAAAACACTTAAATACATGTCTAAATATACACATTAGAACTATTCATAAAACACTTAACACTTAAATACATGAATAAATATACACATTAGAACTATTCATAAAACACTTAAATACATGTATAAATATACACATTAGAACTATTCATAAAACACTTAACACTTAAATACATGTATAAATATACACATTAGAACTATTCATAAAACACTTAACACTTAAATACATGAATAAATATACACATTAGAACTATTCATAAAACACTTAACCCTTATGAGACGGGCCATAGGTGAAAGGCCATGTCATCTCGTTCAAAATTCAAAATTTTATTGAGCTACTATTTCATGAATTTATGTCAATAAATTTGGTATCAAACTATAGATTATAATTCAAATTTTAGTACTATACATTACTCAATTTGTTAATTTAAAAGTAAATATTAAAAAAACCCATATAAACATCGATTTCTGTGTGTCATGTGGTATGTTGAATGCAGCACTGGTTCAAATTAGATGTTTGTGAAGTCAAAATACTAAGTCTATAGTTTCATACGAATTAGAAACTCAAATTACAGATACATTGTCAAGCTAGAATATCAAATAAGAAGGTCTTATCTTTTCTATTTGCTAAGATATTGCTCACATAATAAATCAAACGCAGTAGCACCCTGCCTACCTCTTTCCATTTTTTGGAAATGCTCCCTTATATACACTTACTT